AATAATGGGTCATTATATATAAACCATTAAGCCTTTATTAATATTTATTTTTGGATTATTAATGGCTAATCTTTAGTTGCATTTATGTAATTTGTGTCATACTGGAAGCATCTTTAACTTAAACAGGAAACTCAGTTTAAGTAAAAGACACTTTGTTGTTGTTACAGTAAACAGTAAGTATATAATGTGAATTACAATGAAAATATATTTTTATTACAGTAAACAATAAGTAAATAATGTGAATTACAATGAAAATAAAACAAGTGCATTAAGATTAATGACAGATGCTTTTATTTTTATGAATATATACATATATGTGTACATACTTATAACAGTAGATTAGTTGATTGGTTAATCATTTGATTTATTGATATACAGATAGATAAATCGACTTATAGGTAAATAAACATTGTTCAGAAGCACAGCCTATAATATATGTTATTAAATCAACACTGGTTTTTGATTCACAAATCTTTATCAAACTTGTTCCTCCTTTATAAGCCCCAGTGAAATGATTTATAATGACTCTGTTATAATGGAATAATTTATACCCTCTACTGGATGTTTGTTTTAATAAATATGCAAGACTCCTATTTTGGGGTTAAACAGTTATGGTTTTTATATAAAACTTAAAATGATGTTTAAAATGAATAGGACACCCTGAGAAGTGTTATGTTCTATTTGAATAACCAAAGCAGTTCAGTATTTCACTTTTTACTTACATTCTTGTAATTTCCAAAAGAATATGCAATGAGTCAAGGGAGATTGTGTTGAAAGATAAATCACATATCTAATGGTTATACTTCATCTGTTGCTTAAATTTTGACATCTCCCCTACACCTCCCTGAATAACTTATTTCTGATATAGAAATACCTATACAATTATTTATTAGATTGTTCTCAGGATTCACCTAAGTCATTCATACAAAGAGATTTTTAGTACCCACCTCATCAAATGCCCAAATAGGAACACCAGTGCTGACCACAGTTTAGAGGTACTTCCTTTACCCAGATACATAAGTATATACCTTTCTTTTCTCTTTCTCTTCATCTCTCCTTCCCTCTCTTTTCCTTTCTTTCTCCCTTCCTTTATTGTATATTATTGAATTTTAATATACAGATTTCATTAAACTATATAATATGTAAAAATAAAACCCATTGAAATAGAGAATGGTTCAAGTCATTCAACTTAAATAAGCAAAACTGCAGGTAGCCACAGTTAAAGCTGGAAGACAGTGGTCTGACTCTCCTGAGCCAAGAAAAGATACCACTTTTTAACTTGTCAAATCTGTTTGCAATTGTTTAATGGGTATTTTATTGGTAATATCTTACTTATTTTTGGAATTTGAAAATACATAATTAATTTTAAAATTATGCATAATTCAGAAAACAGTGAAAGTGGAAATAAACACAATGACATATTTTTTTAAATAGCATTGATAAATTAAAAAATTAATGGAAATGTTCATGGTTCTATGCAATGTACTCTTGTGGAAATATTTTGTTGTTGTTAATTTATTGTATGTAGTTTGAATTCAGTTTTCTTACCTTATATGGTTACATTGTGTTCCCAGTGACTTTTATATATCAACTTATTAATTCTGTAGGCAAGCTCATTATAAATAACTATTATACAACTTCTCCTTTTGCTCCATGTACATTGACCTCATAAGCAGATACAACTCTGATATGAAAATGTCATATTTTCTCTGCAACTGCAATGCTACTGTATACATTCTTTCAAAAAATGGTCAATAATATCCTCTATTACTTTAGTTTGTTAAGATACCTTCTTGGGGGGAATGATCCAAGATGGCCGATCGCTAACATCTCAGGATTGCAGCTCCCAGCGAAAACTCAGACAAGGAGAGGACGCCACACTTTCAGACAAATTTTGGTCGCTCACGGAGCAGAAGATTCCCAGTGGAGGAGCTCCACGGGTTGCCAGCGCAACTCTTGTGGCGGGTGCAGTGCTTTCGCCGGCACCCGGAACAGGACTGGTTCCCCTTCTGACCAAGGTTTGGAGGAGCCATATGGGTCGCCAGTGCGACTCTTGAGGATGGCGCGTTGGTTTTGCTGGCACCTCAGCGTGGCAGCTCTTGGTGCAGAGAAAACAGGACTGGTTCCCCTTCTGACTGAGGTTTGGAGCTTCAGGAAGGCAGAGTTGCCTATTAAGGACTCAAGAAGGAAGCCAGATTGGAGATTCCCAGGCCAAAAAGCACCATCAGTCTTAACTCCGCTGTTTTGGCCGGCTCAGTGGGTTGCTCCTATTTTGGCCCTGGAAATTAACAACTTGGAAGTCCACTAAGAGACCTAATTTGAAAGTTGGTAATTACAAAGACGACAGGTGGATAAATTTACAACAATGGGAAGAAACCAGCATAAAAAGGCTGAGAATACTAAAAATCAGAACGCCTTTCCCTCTAAAGAGGATCACAGTTCCTCATCAACAAGGGAATAAGACTTGATTGAGAAGGAGCACATCCCATTAACAGAATCAGGCTTCCAATGATGGATAATAAGAAACTTCTGTGAGTTAAAAGAACATGCTGCAGCCCAATGTAGAGAAACTAAGAACTTTGAAAAAAGATTTGACGAAATCCTAATGAAAATAGACAACTTAGAGAGGAATATAAGTGAATTAATGGAACTGAAGAATACAATGCAGGAACTCCAAGAAGTATGCACAGGTTTTAACACTCGAATTGTTGAAGCAGAAGAAAGGATATCAGAGGTAGAAGTCCAACTTAATGAAATGAAACAAGAAGACAATGAAACAAGTGAAAAAAGGATAAAAAGGAATGAGCAAAGTCTCCAAGAAATGTGGGACTATGTGAAAAGACCAAATTTCCATTTGATAGGTGTACCTGAATGCGACGGAGAGAATGAATCCAAGCTGGAAAATATTCTTCAGGATATTATTCAGGAAAATTTTCCTAAACTAGCAAAGCAGGACAATATTCAACCCCAGGTAATACAGAGAACACTACAAAGATATTCCTCAAGAAGAGCAACCCCAAGGCACATAATCGTTAGATTCACCAGGGTTGAAATGAAGGAGAAAATACTAAGGGCAGCCAGAGAGAAAGGTCAGATTACCCACAAAGTGAAGCCTATCAGACTTACAGCAGATCTCACAGCAGAAACTCTACAAGCCAGAAGAGAGTGGGGGCCAATATTCACATCCTTAAAGAACAGAACTTTCAGCCCAGAATTTCATATCCAGCCAAACTAAGCTTCACAACTGAAGGAAAAATAAAATCTTTTATGAACAAGCAAGTACTCAGAGATTTTATTACCACCAGGCCTGCTTTACAAGAGCTTCTGAAAGAAGCATTACACATAGAAAGAAACAACCAGTATTAGCCTTTCTAAAAATATACCAAAAAGTAAAGAGCATCAACATAAAGAAGAATTTACATCAACAAATGGATAAAACAGCCAGTTAACATCAAATGGCAGTAATCCTAAGTTTAAATCGACTAAATCCCCCAATCAAAAGATACAGCCAAAACCGAACGGCATGTTACATCCAGACCCATTTCACTTGCAAGGATTCACAAAGACTCAAAACAAAGGGATGGAGAAAGATTTACCAACCAAATGGAGAGCAAAAATAAATGAATAAATAAAAAGCAGGAGTTGCAATTCTCGTATCTGATAAAATAGATCTTAAAGCAACAAAGATATAGTGGTAAAAGGATCAATGCAACAAGAAGAGCTAATGATTCTAACACCCAGATACATAAGACCTATAAAGAGACTTAGACTCAACGAGACAGAAAATTAATAAGAATATCAAGGACTCAAACTCAGATCAGGAACAAGTAAACTTAATAAATATTTATAGAGCTCTCCACTTTAAATACACAAAATATACATTTTTGTCAATACCACATTACACCTTCTCATAGGTTTAAATGAAACATTGGCCATTATTAATACCCATTTTTTTTTAGAATAAAGCAACATTTCCATTCTCTGTCCCTCTTTTTCTTCCTCATTCTTCCTCTCCTTCACTCCTTTTTTTTTTCTTTCCTTCCTTCAAAAAAAGAAAAAAAAAGAAATCAACTTGTAGACCTCTAGATTCAGGTCGGCAATGTCTCTCATTGCTCGATTTCCTTCCTTTCCTTCTCTCCCTCCCTCCCTCCCTTCCTCCCTTCCTGCCTTCTTCCCTTCCTCCCTAAAAAAAATAAAAATTAAAAAAAGATACATTCTTGTGATCATTCTGCATGCAAAAAAAAAAAAAAAAGAATGGATTATAAGATATGGATGCCAGGTCATTATGCACATAATTGTATCCTTAGCCCGTTCAACGAAACAAAGGCAGTTTAGTAATGTAGCCATGTATGTCTTCTATTGGAGTAGATCCTAAAATGAGATAAAACAGTTGGTGTTGTTTTATACATAGGGATAATTGAGGTAGTGAACTACAAGGTTTGTGGATATTTCCCTCTGATGTGCTGCTTAGAATACATAAGGATCCAAAAGTGAAGCTGTTGTTTATCCTTCGATCACTTCATCTTTTTATTCATCCTCATTATGTTCAAAACATTCTGGCAAATTCAGACTGTGTTTCTATCAAACAACTGGATCAAATTGAAACCAGATATTCTAATTTAACTTTTAAAGTTTTGCCTCTGTCTTTGGAGAGTTTCCTGAGTGTCTTACATTGTTTGGCAGCACATAAATGGCACAAACAACCCTTCTTATGCCAGAAAAAATCATTTTGAAATTCTCTATTAGAAAATGAAAATTCAGTTGATTTCTTATTATGAAGTTTATAGATATTTTGCAACTGTACAGCAATTGATATAAATTGTTTCATATGATCTGAATATTGGCAGAAATCAAATTAAGTACATTATTACATTGCATTTTAAAGACTATATAGGTCCAAAATTTCTACAACATTTGTGTGACCTTTCTGTTATAAAAACCATAGTTTTCTGATGGTTATTTTTAAGAGTGGCTTTAACATATTTAATTTCCTTTTTCAGGAAATGTACCCAAAAAGAACTCTGAGAGAATATACTCAATTGTTCTGCTGTGATTAAACAAGACTGCTGTATTTTGTAAGTTCATCTACTTTTATCTTTATTTTTTAAATAAGGAAGACTTTCTGCTGTAGAAAATCTTTTTTCTCATTTGGAATTAGAGTCTAATTTTGTTTTAATAGAAGGTTTAATTGATTTTATTTTTTTCAAACTTTGTTTTACCTCAGTTTTATTCAGTTTCAATGAATAATGAAAAGGCATTTTTTTTTTAGATTAACTCTGTTTCCTTGTATCTATTGGGCAATATTTTAATGACTCACGATAAGAATCTTATCAGTTGGTAAAAGGACAGTGCTATCAGTAATGCTGACTTGATGTGGGCAAATATATTGGAAATTGTAATGTCCTCCACTTCAGTGAACGAATACATTTGATTTTATCTGTAGAAACTGACTTTATGAAGGTAGCTAAATACTGACCCTCTTTCGGATATGTTGTAATTTTATCTTGCTACTAATACTTAGATTATACATTCAAGGATTATAATATATATCATGATGAGGTATGTACTATATGACTTTGATGTTTTAGGATATAACATTCATTTTTGCACTACATGATTTAGTTGTATTAGAATATAACACATATTTATTTCACATGACCCAGAGCAACCAAAGGCTTTGTGTAGAAATCATGAATGACATTAAATTGAATGTTTCCTGAATCTTCATGTTTACAATCCTTCTGATTATCTCAAAGTTGAAATTTTTCTATTTCAGTTTCTGAAACAATATAAAACAAATAGGTTTTTTCCTCCTTTACAAACTGCCTTCTGATATTGAGATAAAATAATCCCTTTGCCCATAATTAGTTTCCTATGACAGGAAACTAGTCATAGAAATATAGTTTCTAGTAGGTTGAGAAAATGTAATACATGTCATTTATTTGGACACTTGCAGCATTTTTTTTTTTTTTTTTTGGCTTTTCATTCAAGCAGACTCTTTTTTTCAGGAGCAAAAAATATGACTGCATCCCCTTATAGTAAATGAATGGAGGATCAACTAGATGAAAAGATGTATCTAAATTTCTGAATTCAGTGGCATAATAGTCATTACAAGTGCTCTTCATCAGGGTATTTTTATTACCCCAATATTTTGAACAACTTAAATGCTGAGTATGGTAACGTAAAGAACATATTTAAGGGTTAGAACAGTTTTTAGAAATTTTTCCAGTAATTCTGAAGGCATAAATAGTTCAAAAAGATCTTGAAATTGGTGGAAAAAATCACATAAAAAGGGGAACCTTTGTAAAGACAAATTTTAACATATATTGTGAAACAAAAATAAAGATTACATAGAAGATTTACCCAAAAAAATTATCTTAAATTATGGCCCAGTGGTTTTATTTTTTAAAAAATTCTATCCATTTATGTTATTTTTCCCCAGGGGAATAATTGAGTTTTTCCCCTTAAAAACTTCATTTCATAAAAATAATTCTCAATTTTTAAATTAAGTAATCATTTAGCTACCTATGTATGTATATATCCCTTCCCATTTTTTTTTAATTTTCAAATAACAACAACGTTATAATGACTTTGAACAATTTTACATTAATAGGAAACTTGTTGAATGTTTCATATATCAACTCCTAAGTGTGAAAAATGGCAAAGAGATTTGGTGTTACATATGACCTGTGCAGTTCTATCAGCGGTGAATTTATATTTTCTATTTCTATATTTTTACTTTTATTTTGGGTTCGAGGTTAACTCTTGTCATGGTAGTTTGTTGTACATATCGTTAGGATTTCACAACAAGTCCTCTGTTTCCGCTTTACTACATTCACTCTCTACTGGTCTGAGAAACCCAAGTTGAGTATCATGGAGATGTTATTAGAGCTTAGATTGGTAAAATCCAGGAAAGATTTTTTAAAAGTCAAGAAAAAAATGTTTTCTTGCTTTGGACATTCTCTTCTTGATTACTCTGAACACTTGTGGTTGAGTCAGCTAATGAAGAATTTGAAATGTGTGGGAAAGGTGCAAGGAGAAATAAAAATTGTATTGAAGAATTCTCAGAATTGTGTGTCCGATAAAAAAATTGAAGGAAATAGAATACTTTCATTTGAAAAAGAAAACGTAATTAGATAATTATTCTTCAGGTACCATATATGAAGAGATCTTATAGAAAAGGTGGCCAATTCCTTTTTTAAAAAAGTATAATAAACCGGGACTGTTATCAGTATAAATTTTCAAGCTTGGAGAGTTTTTAAGCACTGGAATAATTGAAGATAGCACTTTGAAAATCTCTTCTTTTGAGAGATTTTTAAAGTAAAACAGATCTTGGACTATCTGGGGCACAAAAGTGCTCATTAATCCAACATGAAATCTTTTAAACCTAGGATTATTTGATCATAAATTAGTTACTGTTTTACATTCTGTAAATAGGTCATTAGCTTTATCCCTTTAATCAACAGTGGCTTTGCTTTTCTGAAACTATACAGAGGAGAGAGTAACAAGTTTAACAAAGCATCTTATGCTCAACAATGGTCCCAGTCGAATAATTGTCCAGTTTTCAATGGAGAATTAGTATGGTCCTCTCTAAAGGTTTAAGAGATGATCAAAATAGCCCCTCTGCTTTTTCCATGAAAATTCCCTGGGAGCTGAACTAATTTCCTCTAGCTAGAATAGATTTAAACAAATGTTTTAATAAGCACATTTTAAAAATCACAACTATCTTATGCTGCCCATTATTGCCATTCTCTTAGGATTATATTTTATAAGGTATATCTATAAAAAGAGACTATTTTTCTATTTTAAATAAGCAATTTCAGCTTAGAAATAACTACTTTGTGGCTTATAATGCTATTTGTTTTACAAACTTTCTTTTTCCAGAAACTGTAGAGATAAAATTAACATTAGATTTTTCCAAATTTATTTTTAATTTCAGAAATTCAATCACATGAATATTTCTGCCAAGAACTGTGGGAAATAAAAGTGCAAGATATGACCACAGCTTCTAAATTGCTATAGTCTCATTGTGGAGAAAATTCATTTGTAAAAAATTAAATGTAGGATTGCAGTTAGTTACAAGTGCAGACTTTGTTATGTTTTTGCTCTTTTCACAACACCTTAAGCTGATCCTTTTTATGTCGTCTGTGTATTCAAAGGGATGTAGAAAATAACAATCAATGAATGAATGAAGCGCTTCAGTCATTCAGAGAATCAGTGTAATTAAATTTTAAAGGTAAAACTTAAGTAAAAATGTTATAGATAAAATAAAAACAGCAGCTTTGACTTAGAAATGTATTTAGCATATAATGTTAAATGCCTGCTTTAAAGGTATTGAAATCCTCATCAGAGAGAATTTTATTAATAGTGGGGAGCAATGCTAAGAAGAAAAGTTTGCTTTAAGCCATGAAATGTCTTAATTCCATGGTAGGCAGCATAAGCTTTGTTCAGTGGTAGGGATAGTCACAAGAAACACATTCTATCACTTTCTGAATAATTGACATAAGGGAAAAAATAAGAGAAATCAGTGATTATGTCAAATTTCAGACTCTGCACAACTTGAAAAATATGTGATGGATTGATGAATGGCAATATAAAAAATTAAGAAGGAGGATGGTGAATGATTCATGGAGTGAGATTTTCCAATTTTTGAAATATCCTGAACTGATTTTCCGTGGGTTCCCTTTTTCTAACTTTTAATCTCAAACCTATTCTCTTTTTTGTATTATTGACATTTTGATAGTAAAACAAATACAAATGGTTCATTTGTATTTTTTTATTTTATACTGTTACTGTACTTCTAGATTATCTAACAGTGAGTTTTTAAGTAAATACACAGGAGTCTTGTAATGTTGAGATAAATAGAAATTAATATCTCAGGCCAGACATGGCGGCTTATGCCTATAATCCCAGCACTTTGAGTGGGGGAGGTGGGTGTATTACTTGAGCTCAGGAATTCTAGACCAACCTGGGCAACATGGTAAAGCACTGTTTCTATTAAAAATACAAAAATTAGCAGGGCATAGTGCTACTTGCCTGTAGTCTCTGCTGCTTGAGAGGCGGAGTGGGGAGGACTGCTTGAGCCCAAGAGGCAGAGATTGCAGAGAGACAAGATTACCAGCACTGCACTCCAATCTGAGCAACAGAATGAGACTCAGTTTTAAAAGTTAAAAAGAAAAGAAATTAATATCCCATAATAGATTTTAGATTTATTTTACCATCGTCTTTTTAATATATCATTATATTTGTTTAATGTTGTTAAATATTATCTAACTTAAAAATTGTGATGATTGATAAGAAAAATGGATACCATGAGTCAAAACCACTGATATATGACAAATGGCACTAACTAGGGAAGTACAAAATTAGACAGATAATTGTTTTATCAAAATAAATATGTTGGAGAAAGATACAGAATTTCAGCATATAGCTTTAAATTTGTAATACTCTGCTTGTCTAAAAGAAAGGATAGCAGTTCATCAAGATAAATATTTTTCTCTCTTAGGTTTTATGAAGATATTAATGCATTTAAACAACATAATAGCCTGTATCCTGAATACAACTTTGTAACCTGTGGAAAAGATCTTCTGCATGTGGTTGTTTCTTGTAACAGCCTTTGAGAGACACTGTGAACAAAATTTAAATGAAATTAATCCAGGAACCAAAGTGATTATGACAGCATTCTGATTATCTGGAAACACAGGGGAAATGTCTGAAGAGTCTTGAGGAGTAAATGGTTGGCACCTTATTCCTTAGACAATTATCTTGAATATCAACTATCTCCAGCAGGCTTAAAATAGGAGTTTTGTGGCAGACGACTCATAAATGAGGTTTGAATGAGTATGTGAAAGGCAGGCATTTTTCATTCATGACTGAAAAAGCACCTCTACACTATAGGTATCAACCATGTTGAAAACAAAAGCATTTCACTGTGAAAGTTGAAGGCTATGAATTCATTCATTTAGGCAACACATATTCTAATTTAGCCTGTATTGCTTTCAATTCTACTTATCAGCAGAAGTTGAGGTACCTATGTGCAGGATTAAATTTGTTTTTGTCAGGAAGGAACGCTAAA